GGTTGGAATACTTCAATTGAGTTCAAATTGAGTATCAAAAGTCTAACCACAAAAACTAAATTTTATATGCTTTTCAAAAATGAGTTTAACCCCTTAGCGATTTAATAGGGTGACCTCTTCCCATAGTATGGTTCCTGTTATAATTATTATATTATTTATTCTCTTCTGGGTCTGCAAAATGCTTTCAATATACCAATACAAATATAATACAGTAGTTTAGAATTGCCTCAAAAGAAATTGTCTGATCTCTATTAAAAATACCATTTCATCATTTTGCTATAATCAATCAGGCACACTAGATGAATCTTAATCTTGGAAAAAACCTATCCTATATATCCATTAATTTTTCTTGTTATATAACCATATAACAGAACAATTGTTTATGTTAAAGATAAAAATTTTTTCTTTTTATTTGACTTAAATAATGCAATGCACTTTAAAAGTAGAGTTAACTCTTAATACTCCTCTAATAATACGGAGAGAGAGCCATTTAAAATTGGAAATGTGGATCCACGATTTTGAAAAGCAGATTATTATTTTTTTCTTTTCTTTCCCAGGGGCCCCTTTCTTGTCGGCTGATCAACGTTTTTCAAACTGTTGTAAAAAGACACTAAAGGCTTGCGTTAATGACATGCAAATATTCTTTAAATATTCTTCATACTCATTGTAATATCACACATGTCATCTTATAACACAGAACACAGCGAATGTAGCAGATATCCAGCAGGCATGCCAATACAAAAAGCATATTCATGGACAGGCAATTAACTCAATCCAAAATAAATTAATAAATGTCAAACTCGGTGTCCCTCAAAAGAAACACAGACATAATGTAGGTTCCCATGTTTGTGCATTATGCATGTCTGCAAACTATGCAAGCAGTACTGCTTTAAGATTAGATCAGAAAACCTGGCAATTGGACAGGAAAGTTGAATTTTGGCAAAAAGTCCATTATTGCAACAGAATTTTGGAAATCAGCTTTTTTTTTTTTTTTTTTTTAAGGATTACAACTCATATTGCTTTTGGACTAGTATTCAATAATAAATCAGTTATTTAATAGATTATTACGCTGCCATTTCCATCTGTACCAATACTGAGACAAACTTATTCAAATATAATTTAAAATAACACAGCAAAATATCCATTAACATACACGACAATTAAACTGCACACTTTAAAATAAGTACCCAAAACACACATTTATCACAATCACCATTTACACAGAATAAACTTTTAACAGCTGTATTCAGAACATATTATTGTAAGGTATACCAATTTTATTTTGTATCAAATTTATTTAAGAGTTCTAGTACCAAAGGTTTTTTTCTTTTTAAAGAAGGGATCCCGTACGGCCATATAACGCGTTTGACTTAAAAATTTGTATAACACATGCATTAACCAGTTGAAACATATGTACTCTGTCAATAGAATTTCTCTCTTATACGCTTATAGAACATTTGGACCAGATTACACAGACATTGTATCACCTGCATTTGTCAGAACTCTCAAAACCTCAAAATATTTTTATACTACTCCATGTTAAAGGCATGGCAAAATTTTGACCGGTCAATTTGAGTTCCCAAAAATCATAACAACACAGGTAAAAACCTTTGTCCATGGTTTTCAGATCCTACATTGCATGACGAAAATTTCAAACCCACTTCTGCACAGTTTGGGTCACAATCAATAAAATCTCAGCATCCCCATACAACAATTTACAGATTTTCACAATGCTACAGAATACATACAATTTAAAGCACATACAACATGTGATGTACTGGATTACTACAAGTTAGCTTACAGCACAAAATGAAGCATGTGTTGGACTGCTGAAAATATAAATTTTGCTCTCTAATTTATAATCATCTACATTTACAACATGAATTCTCTGCAACAAACACACAGGCAGTGGCGGATCCAGGGGGGGGGCAACGGGGCAATTGCCCCCCCAAGAGAAATCCGCCGGTCTCCCTCCCCTGCCAGCACATGCAGGTGTTAGCCCTGCAAAGTGCCTGCGGACCGGAGGGGAGATCAGAGATCTCCCTCCCCGGTCCGCAGGCACTGTGCTGACAGCCGGCAGGGGAGGGAGAGGGAGTGAGAGGGAGGAGAGAGAGGACCCGGGAGCTCAGTCTGCAGCTCCTCCGGGTCCTCCTCTCGCGAGATTTGGAGCGTTGCCGCGGTTACCACGGCAACGCTCCAAATCTCGCGAGAGTGAACTCTAGCCCGGGAGCGCGGGCTAGAGTTCACTCTCACCACTGGGACCACCAATGAATCCCTCACCGGACCACCAGGGAAATGCCCCCCCTCCTCCCAGTAAAGGTAAGAAGGGAGGGGGGGCATAGAATATTTATTTATTTTAATTAAATTAAAAAATATTATATAATAATAAAAAAAGCCACCATAGCCTGATCACACACACATACATTGCCCCCAATACTGCCCCGCCAATACACACAAACTGCCCCCCCATTCACACAAACTGCCCCCCCATTCACACACACTGCCCCCCATACACACAAACTGCCCCCCACACACACTGCCCCCCATACACACAAACAGCCCCCATTCACACAAACTGCCCCCATTCACTGAAACTGCTTATACACACAAACTGCCCCCATACACACACACCCCCCATTCACACAAACTGCCCCATACACACACATGCCCCCCATACACACACATACTGCCCCCATACACACACACACTGCCCCCATGCACACACACTGCCCCCCATACACACACTGCCCCCTATACACACACACTGCCCCCCATACACACACTGCCCCCATACACACAAACTGCCCGCCATACACACACTGCCCGCCATACACACACACTGCCCCCACATACACACACTGCTCCCCCATACACACATACTGCCCCCATACACATATACACACACACTGCAATACTCACACACACTGCAACTGTTACACACATACACTGCATCCCTGACATACACTGCCGCCCTCACTCACACACTACAACCTTCACACACACACACACTGCACCCCTTACACATTGCACCACTCACACACACCACTGCTCCTATACCTTACTACAGCCCCATTTCCTAGCAGATCTCAGGTAAGTTGTCAAACTGTTCTTAAACGGTTTGACTACTTACTGTGGGAGGGGGTCCCGGCACTATTGACACCATAACCGCTACACTGAGCTGTAGTGGTTATTGTGTCTGGATTATTTCTTTAAATAATCTACAAGTGCCCCTCCCGAGATCAGGCTCTGGATCCGCCACTGCACACAGGGCAGAAAGAATGTGGTGTTTGACGTTTTGAACTAAGTGACTTTTTGTCCCAATATGAAAATAAAGGGCTCATCATATAAACAATCATACATCCCACTCTCATAAAAAAGTGTAGTGGGCTTATAGTACTTTTGTCCAAGTATAAAAATAAAGGGCTCATTATAAAAAACAAACATACATGCAGAGAAATCATGTTAGTTCTAGAATTTGTAGCCCCCTTAATTAACCTCTATTTTTTTTTGTCCTATTCATCATCACCTTTACATGTACGTTTGACATTCCCTAAATTAAGACTTTATGCTTAAAATCAGCGTTGCACAGTTACATAAAATAGCACATAAAGTAGCAAGCTGGAGTAATGCCAAACATCCATCATACAGGGTTTAAACAATATTCCCTTTTAACCCCCTTTTTTTTATTTAAAATATTTTTTTTTTTATAAAATATTTTTTATTTGAAACCATTTTATTCTGCAAAACCCACATGTACATGTACATTACATTACATGACATCACAGCCTGCTAAAGGCTTGAAAATCATTTTACCACCTGCCAAAGGTGAACCTCTACCAAAGAAGAATTGTTTACCATAGACAATTGTGCACAATACTGCCTGCCAAAGGCTTTCCTCCAACCCAAGGAGTAATAAAAGTCTACCTTAGACTTAAAAAAAAAAATCATGTCTATCAAAGACATTATGCAGTGAAAATCCCCTTTAAAAATGTAAATAGTGAAAAAAAAACATTTAAATCCGAAATGCAACATGTGGGGGATGGGAGAAGCAGGTAAAGAATAAAGGTCATAAAAGACACTACCTGTCATTTCCGTTCCGTCCAATTGCAACCCAAAACTTATGACACCAATTTGTTGGGGATAAAATCAGCCCGGGCCCTTTGTGGATGATGGATATTTGCCAACTCATTCAGAGCTCTGGAAATTGGAAATGAATAGCAGAGATGTGTTCAATAACCAATTCAAATTTTATTATACGTCAGTTATTTTTATACCCCATTTTCATGTCGGTAGGGGCCATGAGCATCAATGACATAGATTGTTTTTCACAAGTTATGAACAGCTGTTTCTAGTTAAATCCTACGTTATATAACGCATACATATTTGATAAAAACCAGATATTTACAAATACCGAAATCTTGGACAATTAACAAGAACATTTCGAAATCAGTACTTTTCCCGTAACTAGGATTTTAGATAAATTTTAATTCTGAGAATCGGAGATACAATACCAAATTTATTCTTGGTTCAAATTAACCCTTATATGAACAGCTAGGATAGATAGTGAGATGGATATTTGTATCTACAAACATGTTATCAGTTTATTTAATTTCCTTTTGTTTTGTGGATCTGAAAATGTCCCAATATGTCTCTTATTGGTTTTAAAGGTTATTAAAAACATCTAGCTGCCATTATAAACCATGGCTTGAAAGTGCCCCCAAAAGCCAATCCTTACACCTTCGTAGAAACTGCTCTCAAACGGTTCATTATAATGATCAGGCTAATTTTTTAAAGAACAAATTTATTGAAAAGAAATATTCACCAAGCAGTCTAAATAGCACTATTGGCAGAGTTAAAAAAACAAGAAATAACTAATCTTTTAGTATACAAAAACAAAAGTACCAAAGACCATCTCTATTATTTTCAATTGTAATAATAAAAGTGGTCACATTAAAAAAATTGTGAATAAACATTGGCACTTACTAAAACAAGACGAAATGCTTAAAAATATTGTACCTGATAAGCCTAATATTATTTTTAGAGGAGCTCCAAATTTTAAATCCATTTAACTACTAATTTTACGAGAGAATTTAAACCCAACAAAAAAACACAATTTTATTTTTTTAATGAAGCTGTATAGTTTGTAAAAGTAGTGACCAGTCTGTATCACCTAAAACCACACATTTTATATCCAATAGAACAAAAAAAAAATGTACAACATCAAAGACTTCATTAGATGCAGTACAATTTTTTTTATTTATTTGTTGTGCCCATGTGGCCTCCAATATGTTGGGATGACTACAAGAAGTTTAAACATAAGATTAAGCGAACATTGTAGAAATATTGTAAAAGGCTATCCAACCATTCAGCATCAAAACACCTTGCCATACATAATAATAAAAATCACTAAAACGTATTGGCATTAAAAAGTGTAATATCCCCTGTAGAGGAGGCAACATAAAAAATATCCTCGGCAATGGAATGGGTGTTTAATCTACAGACACTCGCCCCTAATGGTTTAAATGCATAATTTGATTTGTTTAATTACATTTAACCTTCCCTCTCCCCATCCATATTGTATATTGTAACGGACCGTTTCAGCACACAAGGGGTTAAAACCATTTAGTCGATCGTCCCCTTTCAGAGATGCAGGCACAGCTACTGTAGAACACAAAACTCCCGAACCGCAAATAACGGAATGCTCTAATCTCCTGAACTGCATACAATATAGCACTCCAAACTCACGAACTGGAACCTCATGAATAGCTGCTAGCAGACGAACAGGAAAAGCACCCAAGCAGCTTACACTCCTGGCAATCAGTCTCTAACAGCATACAGTAAATCCCCCCCAAAGATGAGACAAAGTTCCGTGTTGAAGGTCAAGCAGTGAACAGTCAGAGCTGTGGGTTTATTGTGCTTATGTACACATTCTCACACATTAGTACCACCCACAGGGTTTTGGAACACAACCAATAAACACATACAATACACTCAGACACTCCCACACAAAATCCTCCCCTCTGCCTGTGATATAATTATGTTGCACAATGGTTTAACATAATTAACACAGGCAGTAAAAATACAGTTTTTATCCATATACTGTAACTTTAAAACTATACATCCAATATTAATAAAACTTACATATTAATAATCAGCACACTTTAAATATAAACATAACCAAAAATCAGACAAATCCATCCAGGGGTTAAAAAGTTAGCTGGAGGTCCCTTTATGACCGATCACAAGCACATTTTCCTGCCCAAAACAGTTCCATAGATTTGGGCTGTGCGGTCGGTCTATTTCAGGCTGAAAAAACGACTAAGTCCAATAGCCGATTGGGACTTAGTCAAATCAGTATGGGAGAAGGTAGGGCTCAGCGGTGTTCGCGGAAATGTGTAGCCGATTTTAGTTCCATGAATTTGGCTACACATACCGTTGACCTCGTTCGCATTAACAAAGATGGCTGCCGCCACGTGTTCGGCAAACGAACAAAGGCCACCCAGCACTGTCAATTAAGCTGCGGTTAACCGCAGCTTCTGGGAGGTAAATTGCCTGCACACTTCCACTTCTGGGTGGTCTGCCTGTGTGGTACTTGGTTCAGTAAGCCCCATTTACTGAACCAAGTGGGAAATAGCCAGGCACAAAGAGTTTTAACCAGGTCTGGGGACACAGGGGACATCGTCTTAAAGGGGCAGTGTCCCAATCTTCCTGATGTCCCAAAAAGGTGTTTAAAGGGCCAGCACCAGTCCCATAGAGTCCATAAGCCACAATATGCCCACTGACTGTCTTAAAGGGCCATACACACCCAATAAAAGTGCATACGTTTTCACCATCTCCCAGGGGCCATAGTCATGTGGAAGGAGGCTGGCAAATAGGCTTCTCCAATGCAATGTGGCGAGATTGGTCTTGTCACATATATTTTTCATATTTATGTTGTAAACAATAATGATGTTTGCTGATTGGTGGACGGCATATGATGTAATTTTGGCGCCAATTTTAAACTACCTTTCCCCTATAAAACTCCAACTAGCCATGTTGTATTTTTTACTCCATTTGAAAAAGCCTATATTGGTGAAATGCGTTATGGATATTACTTTGCATTTTATTTAATAAATAATTTTGGTTTTCACAATAGAATATTATGCCATCACCTTTATATTTTAACCATTTATTTCTAATTTATACTTCCTGGCATTTTCTATCATCATTGTTTTATCATAATTTTTTTTATCATCTCTACTCTCAAGAATATCCTAGGTGGGGATCATACCACCAACACTATCATCATAGAACAGTGAGCCTGCTCTATTCTTTTTTATAATTGACAGTTTTTATTTTCATGTTGCATAAAGGTAAACCCAAGGGTAAACGTATGGGGGTACAGAAAAAAAAAAAGGGATGGGGAGGGGATTACATAGCTTCATTGTACATGGCATCACAGCAAGTTTGGTTGACATTTATACACCATTCGTGTTAAAATTGTTTGCCAGTGGTGTACATGTCTATGTTTGGCTGCATGGTTTTATTAATGTAGTTCGGTCCCTGAGTGGTGCTGGGGGTACCATGCCTGCTGTGGGAGCACGTAATATGCATTATATACATTATATACATTAACAGGAACTATGTACATGAATCTTGATACACCTATGTGTGCTTCTCTTTGTGACAAGGTTCTCTGTTGTGTTGCGTTTGATCTAGGCTTGACCATTGGGTCTGGTGCGCTTAAGTCTGTGTCCCTTTCTCGGTGTTACTATTTGTGTTTGTTATTGTTCTTACTCCGCTTTTAGTAGGTTTTAGTTGGTTTGCTTGTTACGGTGGGTAACATGGTGTATGTCTGTTTGTTTTGCGGGTTACTTCTTCGTATTGGAGCCACATGTTGTATGCTTCTATGGTTGTGCGGTCCTCTTGCCCTAGTGTTCCTGCAAATTTTTCATATGTCACATTGGTGAATGTTAGGTCGATTATATCTGTTTTTGTGGGAATCGCTGGAGACTTCCATTGTCTTGCTATTAATGTCGTTACCGCTATTGTAATGAGATAGATTAGTTTTCGTATGGGTTTTGTGATATTCTGTGGTGAGATGTGTAAGATGTACACTTCTATAGTAGGTTGGATCTTTATACCTGTGCTATTTGTAATTATATCTTCTACTGCATTCCATACTGGGCGTATGTGTGGACAGGTCCACCAGATATGTAATGTGTCTCCTTTTGGCGTCAGTGTTGTTGTACATTTTATTCAATTTGCTAGGGGTGAGGTGCCATCTGTAGAGTAATTTTTTGGCGATTTCTAGGTGAGAGGCGCACCGTGTTGTGCTTTTGTGTGCTAAGAAGGCTCTTCCCCATTCCTGGGGCGTCAGTTCCCTCCCTATATCTTTGTGCCATTCTTTTTGAAATCCCCAGAGGTGTGTCTGGGGGCCCCCAATGAGTATATTATAGCAGAGTGATAAAGTTATGTCTTGCTTTCTCTTGTCGAGGTATTTATTTTCAAAGTGAGTTAGTTTTGGTTCCCCGGTCGCTGCCTTTTTGGGTGTGTCTTCAGTTCGTAATGTGTGGTGAAGTTGCATGTATGAGAATTGAGCCCTATTTGGTATTTTATGTTGTGTTTGTAGTTCTTTGAAGCTCTTTAGGGAGCCTTCCTGAGTCAGTTGGTATAGGTGAGTTATGTCGTGTTCTGCCCATATTTTGTAGTTGAACGAGGGGTCTAGAGTGTGTAGCGTTTTAAGATTGGTTGCGGGGGACCACTTATATCTCGAGCATACCCTGTGTCTGTTTATCCCAAAGAGATAGCATTAGTTTGGTTGTCGGCAACATCTGGAAGGTGCGGGGTCTTATTTCTTTTGGGGCCCATAGGAGGTGTGTTATATGTTTCCCTTCTAGTCTACTGGATTCAAGTTCTATCCACTGTGAAGGTTGTGCACTGGAGTGGCATCGTAGCACGTTTGCCTGTTGTGTAGCTCTGTGGTATTCCCTTACGTCGGGGAATCCAAGTCCTCCCTCTCTCGCTGTCCGTGACAGGAGCCACCATGCTACCCTGGGTTTTTTTGTTTTGCCATCCAAATCTCAAAAGGGTTGACTGGAGAGTTTTAAGGTATTTGGAGGGGACATGTATTTGTAATGTTCAGAATAGATATAGAATTTTTGGCAGGATCATCATTTTGATGGCCGCGCATCTGCCCACCCAAGATAGGTATTTGCCCTCCCAGGTTTTCAATGTATTTTCAGTTTCCGTGTGGAGTTTTTGGTAGTTCATTGTGAAGAGTGAGTTATATGTTTTCGTGATTTGGATACCCAGAAATGTGAGATAGTCCTCTCTCCAGTCATAAATGCCGCTTTGAGTCTGGTCATTGTGGTGTCCTCTATGCCTATTCCCATTGCTTGGGTTTTAGTGATGTTTAGTTTGTAGTATGAGTGTGCGCTATAGGTTTGAAGTTCTTTTTGGAGATTTGGGAGGGAAATTAATGGTTGGGATAGCGTTAAAAGGACGTCGTCTGCGAATAGGTTGAGTTTGTACTCTTTTTCTCCTATATTTATGCCATGTATATTTGGATTGCGTCTGATGGCTTCTGCGAGGGGTTCCAGGGCTAGTACATAGAGAAGTGGTGACAGGGGGTATCCCTGCCTAGTCCCATTTGTGATGTCGAATGGATCTGATTGGAACCCTGAGGATGATACCGCAGCGTTCGGAAAGCTGTATAGGGCTTTGATGGCTGTCAGGTAAGTGAGGGGGAAGTCAATTTTTTTAGGGTAGCCTCTAGGAATTGCCAATTCAGTCTGTCAAAGGCTTTTTCTGCTTCTAGGGAGATTGAGTCCTTGTTTCCGGTCCATGTGTATCGTCTGTATAATGTCTATCACTTTTCGTGTATTGTCTGAGCATTGCCTTCCATGCACAAAGCCCACTTGGTCGTTTGAGATAAGGGAGGGGAGGATGTTTTTGAGTCGGTTAGCTAGTATTTTTGCATATATTTTGGTGTCTGAGTTTAGTAATGATATGGGGCGGAAGTTTTGGCAGTGTGTCGGTGTTTTTCACGGTTTCGGTAGGGTAATTATTCTAGCTGCCAGGTACTCCGCTGGGAAGTTCCCCATTTGGAGGGCATGATTGAATGCCCTGTTGAGATGTGGGGCCAGGTGTGGTGCGAATTTCTTATGGTACTCGTTCGTAAAGCCATCTGGGCCTGGTGCTTTCCCTAGGGGTGTGGATGTTATGCAATCCAAGATTTCGTTCTCTGTAATGGGGGCTTGCAGGAGTTGCTGCTGGGTACTAGACAGGGTTGGCAGCGGGATGTCTGTTAGGTAGGATTGTATGCCTGCTTCTGTGGGTTGCGGGGTGTTCGGATCTTTAGAGAGGTTATATAGTTGGCTGTAATATTGGGCAAATTCTTTACATATGCCTGAGGGTAGGTGGACTTTTTGTCCCTTTTTATTTATGATGTGGGCTATCCGTGTTTGTTGCTGTCTTTCTTGTAGACGTTGTGCTACAAGCTTGCTGGCTCTATTACCTTGGTCGTATGTGCGAGTGTTTAAGCGCTTTAGCTTGAGGCCGAATTTGTGGAGTCTGGTCTCATTGAGTTTGTTTTGGAGTGCATTGATTTGTGTTTTATGGTCTGTTGATGGTTGTTTTTGGTTGTCTTTGTGAAGCTCTGCCAGTTGTTGCTTGTATTGTGTTGTTTCTTTTTCTGATCGTTTTTTTAGATCTGCTTATCAGTGTGCCCCTTAATACTGCTTTGTGTGCAAGCCAGATCGTGTGGGAGTTCAGGTCATTTGAGGCATTAGTGGTAAAGTAGTTGTGGAGTTCGTTTTCTAGGGTTTTGCAGTATTGTGTGTCTTTGAGTAGATAGTCATTGAGACGCCATGGGTTTCTGTGTTTGTATTCGTATGAGCTCGCTAATGTTAATGTCGTTGGTGCATGATCTGACCAGTCAACATTTAGAATGTCACATTCCATTATGTTGGACATTGTGGATTCATGCATGAAGCATCCGTCAATTCTAGAGTATTTGTTATGTACTTTGGAGTGGTGCGTGTAGGCTCTTTCTGCCGGGTGGAGGGCTCTCCACACGTCTCTCAGTCCATATGTGGCTAGTAGGTTCCTGAGGCTTCTACTTTGTTTTTTCAGGGTTTTGTAGTGGGGCGACGTGGGTGGCCTAGTTGAGTCTAATATTGGGTCCAATAAGTGGTTTATGTCCCCGCTCATGACTAGGGTGCCTTTCCTCATCTTTTCAATTTTAGTGAGGACCCCGTGCAAAAAATGTATTTGGTTGGTATTTGGTGCATATATATTCACCAGTGTGTAGTCTATATCATTAATCGTGCAGTGCCATATGATGTATCTCCCTCCTGGGTCTATTGATTGGTCATGTGATATTACTGTGAGGTCCTTGCTGAGGAGAATGGACACGCCTCGAGATTTCCTCGGGGTGGTGGCATGTGCTTGGTGAGGGTATATGTTTGGGCTTATGTGGGGGTGAGCTTCGGTTCTAAAGTGTGTTTCTTGGAGATATACTATGTCGGCTTGTGCTTTTTAAGTTCCCTACCCAGAGTGTGGTGCTTTTGTGGGATATTCAGTCCCTGTACATTATGGGAGTATAGTTTTAGACTGAATGTGTATGGTTTTTGGGTTTGCTGTCTTGGTCTTTGTTGACTCGGATGGTGACTAGTGACGGGTCTCCGCCCTTGCTCTGGGAGGATTGGTTGGGGAGGATCTTTGCTAGGTATAGGTGTGGCGATTTAACCCTTCTCGGTTCTATAAGGCGAATGTGTTGTACTTGTGGAGTGTTAACCCTGCCTTTGTGTGTATTGCATACAGAGATATGTGGCATGATTTGCCTTTGATCATAGGTGTATCGAAAACATTTAACATATTTACAACAGAAACATAACAGTTTTTGAAACCTGACCATTGTGCCCTGGTCGTCCATCAGGGCGCAGTTTATCCCGCTAGTTCCTCCCACTAGCTCTCCCTATCTGGGGGGTTGGGAAGTCTGGCCTGCTGGCCGTTCCAGGGGTCGCTGCCCCGGGCCAACGGCTCTAATCTATTCTACCTTGGGGATAATTTTTGAGGGTTGTCTATCTCGGGGGGGTCCATAATGTTTGGAGAGGCAGAGAGGTCGTACCTCTAGTCCTGTGCTCACAACTTGGAGGTGGATATATGAACCTCTATCTTTGAGATTCGGAATTGTCTCCTGCTAAGGGGATCTACGGGTGTTAAATTGGTATGGTAGCTTGACAGAGAGGTAACATTTTGCTCCCAAGTTCCCACCTTTTTGCAAGTGCTCTTTATATATCTATAAGTTTCACTGCCACATGGCCCAATTTGGACAAGTTAGTTAGGGAACCCTACGTTGATTCCTCCCTGGTGGCTCGTGTTGTGGGGATGGTAGTGCGCTTGGTTTAAGTAATGTTGCTAGGGTCTAACTAGCCGGTACTTCCTGTGGAGCTAACACCCCTACCTGGCCATACGACCTTGTGATCACCCGTCCCTTTACGTGTACTGCCCTTGGGGCATATCAGTTACTTTTCTTTGCGCCACGCCACAGTGAGCCCTCGCTCATGCTTCCTTCTGTGGTTTAGTTAGTTTAATGGGGTAATCTTTGGGTATGCTTTCAGGGGAGGGGGGAACATGGGGGAGGGGGTTCATCCCGCTTGGGATGTGACATGCTGTTTAAACAGGGACCCAGTCCCATAGTGGACTATCTTTCCCCCACTGATGCGCCTTTGCGCAGAGTTCCTCTCACTCCTCCCATGTCTCCTGTCCCCCTTTCCCTGTGAGTGTGGAATAGTTATCTGTAGTGTTAGCATAAATACAGTTACAACGAGTATATTACCCTCTCCCGTTTTGCTTCCCTTGGTTCACGGTAATCAGTGTCCTAAAGTCTCTGAAAGAGATTAACAGTGTCCATGGTGTGTTTTTGGTTGGTTCGGTCTGTATGGATGCCATCCGTCATCTCCTGGTTTCTGTCACTTAGCGTTGGTATTTTTTGGTGCTTTGGAGTTTTTCACTGTCTGCCATTCATGGTGTAATGCCGACCGTTTGGTTGGTTTGTCTCTTTCCGTGGCAAGGTTGATGCCCCAAGAGTGCAGCAGTCGGGCTCTGTCTTCTGCGGTTGAGGCTACCTGTGTTTTGCCGTCTCGTAGGATCAGTAGTTTGATTGGGAATCCCCATCGGTACGGGATTTTCCTGTTCCTGAGTTCAGCTGTGATGTCTTTGAAAGTTTTCCTGCGTCTAAGTGTTTCAGCTGATAAATCTGCGTATATCTGCATCTCTTTATATTGGTCCGGGAGTTCTTGTTGAGGTTTCTTGGAGCGTAGGATGGATTCTTTTACATGATAGTAGTGCATTTTTAGCATCACATCCCGCAGTATAGAGGCTGGTAGGTGTTGTGGTTTTGCTACTCGGTGCGCCCTGTCCATGAGTAGCATGTCGATTGGAAGGTCAGGAGCTAAGACATGGAACAGGTCTGTGAGGTACGTCATGAGGTCCGACGTCTGTATTTCTTCAGGGATGCCTCTCACCCGGAGATTTTGGCGCCTGGATCTATCCTCAAGATCCATGTTTTTTACTTCCTGTTTCTCAAGTTTTGCTTCCAGCTCCTCCAGTTTTTCTGCAAGGCTATTGTGCGCTTCGGCATATTCCGCCATCTTGCCTTCCATTTGGGCTGTGCAGTTGTCGATGTCTATAATATCTTTTTTTAGGTCAGCTATTGCTGAGTGAACTGTTGCTTGTATTTTTGAAGCCATGTCATCCAGCATTGTCTGGAATAGCTCACCGTGAATTTGCATGGTGTTGGGTGCTGGATGTTGTGGGGATTGTGGCTGGGATATCTCCCGGTCATCTCCACTGCCGTCGCCATCTTGTGATGTCTGAGCTTGTGATTTGTGGCATGCCGTTTTCGCGGTGAAAAACAAGTGCTTTTCTTTGGTGTCAGTCATCCTCCTTGCTCCCCTTGCTCCCTGGGGGAGTTTTATGCTGGTAGGTTGCTGTTTATTATGCTGATTTTAGCCGTCGGCTCAGGAGCTCCCTTCTCACGCGGCCATTCAGTTCAAGCGAAGGGTCCGCCCCCGCCTGCTCTATTTTTGTGAGTATAGTTCTGATTAATTTTATACAACACTTACTATTTTATTGAGAGCACTATCTGAGGCTATTTTTTATTCTCTTTCTGAGTACCTGGACACCCATCTGCTGTGAGCAACCCTCACCATATCCCATAGGTGGGGATTGTACCACTGTATGCAATATACACTAGAGCTGGTCACAGCTCTGTTACATGTGAGTGCAACATCATTATTATTCACATACTGTAACATTAAGCTTTGACATGTTGCACTAATAGATTGCTTTGTCTTTCTCTATCCACATACGGAAACTAAAGACACTCAGATCTACCACATCCCCAAACATAAAGAACTTAACAGCTGCATCTACCTCCTGATAAGAAACATCTTTATATGTGACAATTTGTATTGTTGGGACAAGACTATTTAGTACAACCTGTTCAATATTTATTTTATATTTATTGCCTTTATTTTTCTACTGTCCTTGTTAAAATTACAAATAAAAGGTATTCAATTTTCATCTTTATCTTTCTTAGGTTTATATACTCGAAGGGATGTTCTGTCCATGTCTGTCACTTCTTCTAAGGTATTTGTTAATGAGACTTAATCATAACCTTTTTCTATGAGTTGGTTTTTGATTGCACGGTGATGGCAATCTGATTTCAAATATGTGTTTTCTCAAAAGAGTGGGAATCTATCATTAATTCACCTACAAAATTGATCCACTCATCTGCGCATATAGGACAATACCATAAAACGTTATATTGTACTGAGTAGATTGCAAAAAATGTTCCCTCCCACTTTTTCCCAATGCTGGTGATGCAATCTTGCTGATGGCATCACTCTACATGTATGGTGGCAAACAAAACAACCCATAATTTAGTCTCAAAGGTGATGAACTGTCTATTACCCTCGAGCATATCTCCTCTTAGACTTACATGACATGTTGCCCAGACATAAATTAAAACTAATAATGTCTTCTTATAACAGGCCAACAATTTAAGAGAGAGAGTCTGGAAATCTGCTATGGCACTGACTCTTTCCTAATTGCTCTCAGAGATTCATAAACAATGCATCTATGAGCAATGCTTTAAAACCATATTTTCTCCCTCTAAAGTTTTTCTGGACGTATGAAACTTGTGGGACTCATGAAGATAGGGTGCCCATTAAGATATGTAACCAATATTTCTTTAGTATGAATCTAAGTCATTCTCATTATTTAAGTGTCTGAATGATTGTATCTCACTTGTTTCGTGTAGATCTGTTTCTGTACTCCTTGAGAAGGAGACTAATATTTTCTGTTATTACTGCCTAAAGTGCCTGCCTACTAAGCTGTTGTGATGTAGTTCTTAGACCCTATACCCCTGCTATGCTTTGCTTGTCTACACTTTGCCTTTTCTGCTGCATTTTGACAGCTAATTCTAATAGTCAGAATGACCTGGAATGTTCCGCCCATAGAACAATGGTCCCCCTTACGCACACCATTCTCTATACAACTTAGTACCCCATTTAAACCTTCTTTATCTATGATTGTCTAGTGAGCAACTTAACTTTTATGTTCCAACCATGTCACTAGTTTAAGTTAAAAATTTGCCTGACTTTTACATGATGTCAACTGTGTGCTGATGGACCCCCCTTTTACTTTTTTGTACTCATTTTTACCATTAAGTTGGAAATTCAATAATTCAATATTTTCATATAAAAAAAAGGAAATAAAATAAATAAAGCTTTCTTGTGAGCATTCAGTTTCACCATGTGATACATCGCCATGATCGTTTCTTTTTTGTTTCACTTTACTATATCTATCTCTGCAATTTTTCCTCTAGAATTTCATATTCACATTTTTGTTGAAGTGCTATTTATATATATTGCCATATTCATAGTCAAGACAATCTCTACTGAATGTATTACTTTTTCTCTCTTCTGTAAATTATTTTTTTTAGTTCATCAACATTTGCATCAATTTTATTTTTTGTCACCGTTAGGTTGTTATCTTGTAGTAGCTGACCTAATTCAATATCCGAATGATACCAAGAGCTGTTAGTTGCTAGCTGCAGAGAGTCCCTTTAATTTAAATGATTCCTTAGTGGTCCACTGGTGCACACCAGTAGTAGGTGCCTTACATAATATCCTCTCCCTCGT